TGATTAATTAATTGCTGGCATTTCTGGGCCGCTCCGCCCCGAACATCTTTATGGGGCATGGGCCTCTTTGCCTGTCCTTCGGGGATGTGCGGCTCAGAAACGTTAGCCCCAGTTTCTCTGCTGCTTCCCATGTAGCCGTAGCTCGGAGGGCTTTACCACTAAAAACAAAAATGTCATAGTAAAACCAGTCAACTGAAGCCGTGTAGAAGAAGTACTTAGGAAACCAAGCTAGGAAGGTTCCTTTGGCATCCGAGGGGATGCCAGCGGGGCCAGGCCAATGGTGAGCTGCGTGTGGTGATATCAGGATGCGAACCTGTCACTTAACATTCTTGCATCAGACTTTGGGGGTCAGCCTTGCGAGGTAGTCCAGGCAAGAAGCACACCCAGGAGTACTAGCTCTATCTTTATTGTAAGGTTATGTTGACAGAATCTTGCAAGTCTGAAAGTACCCCTCTGGCACAACCAGGTCACGAGCGACTTTTGAAAACTCAGATTGTTGTCTAGCCTGCGGTTCTTCCTCCTGTCTCCCAAGGTCATTCCGATATGCCATTAGATTGGGACACAAGGGTGAAAGGGCACGGTTAGTGTCATGACATCATGGCACACGTTTTGTCATTTTTGTGTCGTTGCAGTTAGTGGTAAATGCTTGGGCCTAGCAGTTATGCATTCATTCGTGCAAAGAAGGCCTGTGTAAAGAAAAGGGTTTTCAGCAGATAGCAGAATGTAGGGGCCACCACACAGAAGGCCCATCGGACAAGAAATGACAAACTGATCCTCTACTAAACTCACTCCATGCAGCAGGGCTTTCTCTTGTGAGATTAGCAATCCTCTAGATCTATTAGATTTTTTAAATAATAATAATAATAATTATTATTATTATTATTATTATTTATAATTAGATCTAGAGTCAGCCATCAACAGGCACATAGAGATAAATAACATTTACACACTATTCAAAAGAGACAATGAAAGGGAAACAAAAAGACCAGGACACCTTGCCAGCAATCAACACCCAGATAAGCAGGGATTAACACCAAAATTAACACCAGACAAACAATCGAGCAGTAAACAATACCCTAAACAAGGAACTACCAACTCAGACAAACAATCAAGCAGTGAACAACAGCCTAATCTAGGAATTGCCAATGAAAAAACAACACCCCCATCAAACACTGACAGGGCAAGCTACTGTATATAAACAGAGTAAACCCCATTCCCTTCTAGCCTAGATGGGTATTGAAATGTCTGTAAGAAAACAGCCAAGCTCAGAGAACACGAATGACTCCACAGTTCAACCCTGAGCTACATGTATTCTCTTCTATTAGATTTATTAGAGTTAGGATGTTCTGTCAGGTATTCAGTCCAAGTGGTTTAGGGCTGTACGCAACAAAACCTTTAATTGGGCTTCGTGGTAACTGGTACAGTGGTTATGAAAGTTAAACTGTACAGGTAATCCTTGACCTACCACTGTTCGTTCAGCAACCATTCAAAGTTATAATGGCGCTGAACGAATGGTGGTTATGACCGGTCCTCAGAGTTCTGGCTGTCCCAGCACCCCTGTAGTCACATGATTGTGATCTGGGCATTTGGCAACTGGTTTGCACTTACAACTGGTTGCAGCACCCTGCAATCACGTGATTGCCATTTGCAGCCTTCCCTTCTGGCTTCCCCAGAAAGTCAGTGGGGAAGCCAGCAGAGAAGGTCACAAGTTGCTGGGGTGAGTCTCCCTCATCTGTTCACCCTCCCCCAGCCCTTCTGCTTGCACCACGCTGGCCACTCATGCATCCCCGTGCACCCTCCCTGACCTGCCACACTCTTGTGCTCCCTCCCTGAACTGCGCTATACCTCTCACAAACTCCCTTGCTCCCTCCCCCACCCAGGAGCAGCCAATTACTTGCCTGCCAGCCTGGATTTGTAACTTCCTGCTGCTTTCCCCACTGACTTTGGTTGTGGAAACCGGCAGGAAGTTGCCTCGCCTAACAACTGTGGGATTTGGTTAATGCAGGGATTGCCATCGCTAAGCGATGCAGTCGCACTTTATGACCATATTGCTTAGCAGCAGAAATTCTGGTCCCAACAGCCATAAGTCGAGGACTACCTGTAATCAAAGAGATATAGATTGTGTAAACTGGCCAACTGTGACTTATTCAATCAAACATGGTTAAATCATGACTTATTACACAGCCTTTAAATTAAGGCCTCTGAGGAAGGCTTTTATGAAGACTACCAGAAAATAAGTCGTGCTGAAGCTATTTGAGTTTATTTCTGAGTAGATATGAATCTGCTTGTATTGTAAAAATATAATCTGTAGTAAAGGTACATTTTTTATTATGCATTTGATCGTATTTGCACTATCTACAGATTGCTAAATAAAATTTGTAACTTTATTGCTACTATCTCTGATGTTAACAGTTTAAGCAGTTCAGATTGTGTTTGGTAACTATAATTTACAGCTTTGTGTGATTGAGTTATTCCAGACCTTTAAAAGTATTAAGGTTGGCTTCTTTTGTTAAGAAATGTAGTTATTGTTGCCCTCATGGTTTGAATATTTAAAACTCTTGTTTTCTATAATATTTTATTTGATAACTTCTATTTGTAATTTTTAAAAGATTGTAATATTGCAAAACGGAAGATTTTTTTTCTTATCTCCCCATTAGGGGGAGATGGGCGGTGATAAATTTAATAAATAAATAAATAAATAGATTATGGGTGCTATGCGGAACTTAATGCCTCTTATCATGGCACTTCTTCCCTGCCTTTTTCAAATCGAAAACATGCCCGCTGTGTGATTCCGGTTCTTAGGGATCCCCCTTTATTTATATTTATCAGTTGCAAGAAATGTTCATTCCTATTCTCTGCTTTCGGAACTTTTACTAAGCTACTGATCCATAAGAGAACTTCTCTTAGCTCACCTCATTTTATGAATGGAGATTTTATGTGTCAAATACCCTAACGCTTTGGAAGTTCAACTAATGTCTGTCAGATTGCTAATTTCCATCCATTTCTTGGTGAGCAGGATTAACCTTAGTGGCAGTTATGTTGGTTCTCTTTCTGTAAGTCTTGTCTATCCATATAGTTGCCAGTTAGTTATTTAATATTGCTGCTCCATAGTTTCCTAGATCTTTGGAATTTTGAATTACATAGGCCATTTAAGGCTTTTAGTACAAGAACCTGATCTTAGGGATCTTTGCCATAAATTTACTGGAAAACCTAGTTATTTTCCTAACAGTTTCCTTGGCACTGCTAATTTTCTATGCTGGAAATGTATTGATAGTACCTTTCCAAATCTGTGGTTTACTATTACAGTACTGTAGTTTTGAGTTGTAACAGAATATTCATACACACTCCCTTTCATGCTACAAGTTTTTATGGTTTCTGCTTCTGTTTTTCTACTGAGGACACTTTGTTTCTGAAATCATTCCAGATTTGTGAGGTTACACCTGTTCACTAAAGTGTTTTTGCACAAAATCAGCTTTTTTATATGGAACAACAAAGGGGGGACATTTTGAGATGAGCTTGCAACATAGTCGTGGCTTCATTTCAGACAAGATTGGAAGAAATTAGTGAGATAAATAGCGTATAGCCATATTCGCAAGGACTTTATTATGCAATATATGACAGATTTTAAAAAGGATGCCAATTCTCATGAAGCGAACAGTAATAAAAAGACCAGTGTCTTGGGATTTTGGTATGCTAACTATTAAAAGCTTTTTTATATCTTCTTGGTAGCCAAAGTGGGGTGCTAACATGACACATAATGTTCTTGTCAGTAGGAAGGCAATGAAGAGCTATTATGGAAAGGTAAAACCTCACTTGACTTGAAGTCTTGGTAGCTACAATGGACACTTCTGTGTAGCTTTCTTGGCAGAAGTTGTCTTCTTCTGGGATGATGATGGTGATGATTAAGTAATAACAGTAACTGTGTTTGAGCCAATCACTCTCTTTCAACCTGAGCAGAGGGTTATCATTGTGGAGGAAAAATAGGTCTTGTACTGTGGTTAGATTATAAGCACTACCGAACAAAAATACCATACCAAGTACAGTATAGTAGAGTATGTCCATTTACTCCTAATACCTTGGAAGAGTGACTGGCCTGAAATCATCAGGTTACTCTGCAACCCGGTGACTTCTTTTATCTTGTATATTGTTATTCAAGTCTCACTGAAGGTTTCTCAAACAGATTTTAAAGATATATGGTATATTTGCTTTGTTTGAATACTGAACATCCAGTTCTGTTCTTGTTCAATACTGTAGTTTGCTGCTTGACTGAATCCTTTTTTGTTGATACAGGAGTATCATCTTCATGTAGGAGGGTGGTTTGCCTTGTGCTGTTCTCGGAATCCATTATTGTTACTAGTCCCTTTAAAATGTGATGGTGGGGATCTCCTTGTAAAAGTAATGGATCAGGTGGTAAGCTCATGTCTGAGCTGTACCACTTTAAATTGCAGTTGGGTGCATAAATGACTGAACATTTCTACACGGCAAAAGAGTGCAAAATACTTGAATGCAAAATCTTTTCATGTGGTATCCTATCAAGTAAATGCCCTCCTGCAGTTTTTTATGTGGACTAAAAGCAATTTAACCACTGCTGAAAGTCTAGTAAGTTTGCAGAAAACTCGGTGAATGTAGGAGTATTTCTGTTTGCGGTCAGGATCTATGTGGCATTCTTGGACTTTATCAGTGGTGACTTTGAATCTTCTAAATGCAAAACCCTCTTGCTGCTCTGAAAACCCAAGGCTGAGTTTCTTAGTTGTAGTAGCCTGAAATTCTGTTCTAACTTGTTCAATTCTTTTCCTGGGGGTGGGCGGAAGGGAATTCTAAAAACAGAAATATAGCAGAGAAAGGGGCATAAAAACTGATCCCCCACCTGTTCTCCTATACTGGTAGGACCTTGGATACAGCAGTCCCCTAATGCAGTTCTTTGGCTCCTTTTTCCCCCAACCCCATCTCCATTACTGAGGATTCTTCTGAAATGTTCTGTTTGGACGCTGTACATAGCTGGGATCTTATTACAGCCCACAGAGCGTTATACCTTCATGTTTCACACGTACATGTGGTTAAGAGTATTATTAGCATTGGCCTGTTTTGTCATGTATGGTGATATTGAATGACCAGGGAGTCTCTTTGTGGAATACAGCTGTTTAATTTTATTTGCAATTAATATTCTTCTGACTGGAATATATTCTTTATCAGGTTTTTCTTTTTAAAAGGCATTTTCTCAAGATGTATACATTTAAAATTTTGAGATGTTTTCAAGATTCAGAGGATCATAGAATCATAGAGTTTGAATATGCCCCACCAGGACATCTAGTTTAACCCCCGGCTCAGTACAGGATCCATTAGAGCAATGTTTCTTAAAGTGTGGTCCTAGGACCCCTGGGAGTCCCCCAAGACCCTCTCAGAGGTCTGTGAAATCAAAATTATTTGCCAGCCTATGTTGAAAAATGATGCAATATTAAAATCCCATTAAACCATTGTGAGAAGTGGTAATGGCAGTGAATGCATTGGTTTTAATTTTTAATATGGTGAATATTGATAAATATAATCTATACAAACAAAAAGTCCTCCATAATTTTTAAAAGTGGGAAGGGTCCTGAGAGAAAAATGTTTAAGAAACGCTGCATCAGAGCTGGCCTGTTTGAAGACTTCCACTGAAGAAGAACATACCTTTCATGTGGTAGCCTGTTCCAACGCCTTGATAGCTGATATAGTCAGGGAGTTCTGTGTGATAGCTAGCCTGAACCTCCTTTCTTGTAATTTTAACCCTTTGCTTCTCATCCTGCCCTCTGGAGTAGTAGAGAATAAGTCCAATCCAAGTGGATTTTTCTTCAAACAAACCTGTAATTCAACTGTAGTTTTGTGGTATTGAATAAAAATATAAAAGATTGCTCCATGCTGAGCCTATTTGTGCATGAGTAATTTCGTTATATCAGAAGGGCATGTGCTGTTTTTAGTAATACAAGTTGGTCAGTCATGATATACTGTTATTGCCAGTTGTGGGAATATGTTCTCTACTGATTATATCAAGGTTGCTATAGCTGTTCTGTTTGGATTCCTTTCCCATTCAGAACAAATACCTTACTAAAATATTAAGTTAAATAACGTAAACTTAAATTACATGTTTTAGCACAGCACTGCTGCCTAATGATGTAACACTCCATAGGATTGTTTTAAACTGATCAATTTGTAATCAGGATTTATTTGGGATTTGTTCAGTTTCATGTGTTGGCTAAAACAGAGAATGAGGCTTCTTATATGACTTCCATTCAAAACATAATGTCAGAGCTCATTCAACGTACAGCTTAGATCTGGATATCATATAATCTAATTCTGGAGGAGACTTCAGTCCCTTACTGATTTCGACTAGGAATTCAGAGATTTTTCTGTGTGCTGTTCAGTTTAACAACATTCTGAACATGACTTTATTCCTCCCTGATATCTGTGAACTTCTGTGCACAGGGAGAAATAAAGGATGTCTAAGTCCTGAATTGTGGGGGAGTCCAGTAGGCTATATACTTATACTTCAGGTGGGGTTTTTCACAAGTGAAACATTTGTCCTGTTTGAGCCTGTTGGACTAAAAAAGTTGTTAGAGAAGGCAAGGTTTCACCATAGGAAGAGTAGGATTCTTTCTGTTGTGGTACAGCCACTGAAAAGCTGGGAAATATATGTGCACTAATCCAGTGTTTCTCAACCTTAGCAACTTTAAGATATGTGGACCAACTCCCAGAATTCCCATGGCTGGCTGGGGAATTCTGGGAGTTGAAGTCCACATATCTTAAAGTTGCTAAGGTTGAGAAACACTGGATTAGTGCACATATATTTCCCAGCTTTTCAGT